CGCCTAGTTTTTCCCCAAGGGTGCCCGATGAACAGTTGTTCACTGATCCCTAGATGTACACTTCTGCTACCAAGTCCCCTCTGAGCCTCCTCTTTTTCAGGCTGAAGAGTCCCAGGTCCCTCAGCCTTTCCTCATATGGCTTGCCGTGCAAGTCTCTGATCATATGGGTAGCCCTTCTCTGGACTCTCTCAAGCTTTACCATGATCTTGTTATGGTGCAGAGCCCAGAACTGGACCAGTACTCCAGTTGCGATCTCACCAGTGCTGAGAAGAGCTGAGTAGAGCAGGAGAATCACTTCTTTGCAGTGGTTTTGCTGGAGCTGCATCAATTGATGCATGCCAGAATATTGTTGGCCCTGCTGGCTACAGCATTGCACTGCCGGCTCAAGTTCATACTGTGGTCAAGTATTACCCTCAGGTCTTGGTGACAAGTGATGGGGGATCTTCAGTCCTGCTGCCTGATGAGAGGCAGGAGTTTTGCCTGTCAGCAGCCAGGGGTGCAGGGCCCCAGAACCCCCCTGCACCGATCTCCTCAACAGCTGGCAGGCTTAGTGGCTGCAGCAGGGCCTAGCAGCAGTTTCCCCTCCCCTGTGCCCCAAGACAGACACAGTTGCACAAGCACCCATGTTGTGAGTTTTATCTGTCAGCAGCCAGAGGTGCAGGGCCCCAGAACCCCTGCACCAATTTCCTCAACAGCTGGCAGGCTTCGTGGCTGGAGCAGTGGCTAGCATCCCTGCAGTTTCACCCTGCTGTGCCTTAACACACACAGTGTCACCCATGTCACAAGTTTTTCTTGTCCGCAGCTTGAGGTGCAGTTTCCCCCAAATCCCTGCACTTATCTCCTTGAAACTTAGCAGACGTCATGGCCTCAGCAGGGGCTAGCATGCCTGAAGTTTTGACTCTGCTGTGGCTTAACACATACATGTGACATGAGTTTTGCTCTCAGGATTTTGGGGCATAGTTTCCCCAAACTCCCTGCACCTATCATCTTGAAACATGGCAGGCTTTGTGTCCTGAGCAGGGGCTAGCATTCCTGTAGTTTTGACTGTAATGTAGCTTAACACATACTCTTGACACAAGTTTTGCTCTCAAAACTTTGGGATGCAGTTTCTCTGAACTCCCTGTATCTATCTTCTTCAAACCTGGCACGCCATATGACCTTAGAAGGGGCAAGTTTCATCCAAATCTGGCCAGAAATTACCAAGTTATAGGCTGTTTTGTCTTTCCCCATTATAGCCTCTGGGTGAAACAGTGGTGAAACAGCAAAACATTTCGACTTGCCTCATTTTGTTTTGAAGCCGTTTCGACCTATCTGTTTCGTTTCAATTTTGCTGTTTCAACCTTGAAACAGGTCGAAACAGAGTCAAAACAAAACTGGTGGCGAAATTTTGCACAGCCCTACTGGTTACAGATACTTCAAGATCCTGTGTGCCCCAGAGAATAGAGGCAGCAGAGGGCAGAGAAAGAGACTGGGTATGATACTGGACATCTGGTCAGGCACTGGCAGAGAATTTGTGATTGGAAGTAAGAGGGAAACTTGGTCCCCCCCCCAACCTCTCTAGGAACAGTGAAGAGCCTAGAAATGATTGCTATAGGAGTGTAACTTCTTGTTTTGGGAAACATCAGGGCACAGCTGTGTAAACAGTGTCCAGAGTTATTCTGGGCAGAGGAAGTGTGAGCTTAGCAGAGACATGTTTTGTTTTTTCTCTAGGGATGCATGGTTGTGAGGGGGGGGCATTTCGGAGGCAGAAAGAGCTTTTCCAAGGGGATTGTGTGTGGTGTGTAATCTGTCTCACACAGTCTTTCAGGGGGAGCTTTCTCAGTCCTAGAATGAAGTTTGCTGGATTTCTTGTATGCTGTAAGAACTGACAAGCTGTGAGGAGAGTCAGAGATTGTTTTGGGTTTGCAGAAGGCAAGGCCAGTACAGATTGTGTATCTGTGAGAGAAAGACCAAAAATTTGCTGGATTTATTAGTTTGCAAAGTGCAAGGCAAGAATGGCCACTGATGAGAATGGATTGTGAAGCCTATAAACCAGAAAGGATATAGTTAAGATTTGTAAGAGAAAAGAAAAGCTAGAAGTTAGGTAAGACCTAGAGGAAGCGTGGGGATTCCAGAGAAAGCTGCTAGAGAAAGATCTGCTGGAAAAAGTATTGCCATCAGAGTGGACAAAGAATTGCCAGACTGAGAGACCTGTTGAAGAATAAGAGAGATTCTTTAAAGGGGGTTTGAGAACAGACTCACAGAGCACAGAGAAGAATTGAGAGTGGGTGCTAAAGAGGAGAGCCCAGCCAGAATTTGTGAGAGCATTGAAAGCCAGAGACTCAGTCTGAAAGGTGTGAGGCAGAGTTAGCACTACTAGTGTAGTCTGTGTGTAGACAAAATGAGAGTGCATGACACATTAAAGAAGGCTAAAGGCTATTACACAGATGTAATTGTGTCAGTGTTTGCACACATTGGCAGTGTATTGCGCATTAATTCCAGCCACTGTAGAAAATCTGGCAGTGCAACGCACCTTAAATGACTTTGGGCACAGCAAACTAAAACTCCTTCAAGGAGTTTTAGTTTGCTGCCCCTGCAGCTGCGGAGTGAAGCACCAAGCTCCGTGCACCTCTGTGGCTCTGCAGGGAGCCCTGCAGGCAGTCTGGCAGCAGCCCAGGAAAGCAGGTTCTGCCCAAGAAAAGCAGTGAGCCTGGTCCTTTTTTTTCTCCACCTGGAGCCTGCTTGCCTCCCTGAGCTGTGTGGGGGCCTGGGCTCAGGATGCCTGTGGGTGGGTTCCACTTGGTGGGGGGTGCTGCTGCCATGGAGGGAAGCACCAGCTCCCCCTGCAGCCCATGGACTGCTCCACCTGCCGGCAGCTCACCCTCCCCTCCCCACCACCGGCGAAGCAGGTAAGTTAGTGGGGTGTGTGCACGACACAGGGGTTTAATCAATCCTAAATTGAAGCAGTGTTTTTTAAAACCCACTGCTTCAGTTTAGGGCCCCCATTTCATTTACACACACCTTGGAGTCCAGGTAGGGTTAAATCAGGAGAGAATAGGACTGAATGGGTTCAGAGGCTCTGAGGAGAGCAGAGGAGAGAGTGAGAATGAAATTTTAGGAATAATTGCTTTAGAGAAGGAAGAAATATAGCAATCTTGAAAGAAAGTTGTAGCTTGATCTCAGAGAGTGTCTGAGCTGGTTAAGTAAAATGCCTTCTATTGCTGGTCCCATAAGAAGTCAGTAGCAAAGAAAATTAACCCCTGTGTTAGAAACTGTGTGAATGTGGGTAACAGAAGTAGAGCCTAAGGAGCCTAATAAGCAAGCGGCTTTGCAAAGTCAGTTAAGGTGTTAATACAAAACAGAGAGTGTGAACAGTGTGGCATATTTGCTCTGTGTGTGTATTACAAGGCAGAGAAACTGCTGGAAGTGTAAGTATCTGTAATCTCATTGGTAAAGGGGGTGAGAAATGTCTTTTTTACCTCCCCTCACTTTCGAGGAATAGTGTGAATCTTTTAGGGAGAATCTTTCCTTTCTTGTCAAAGTTGGCTTTCCTGAAGTTGAGGACTTCTGCATTGCTGACTGACTTGCCAGCTTTATGGAGGATGGTGAAGGTGATCAGCTCATGGTCGCTGTCTCCCAGCTTCCCTTCGATCATTAGGTTGCTGATTAAGTCATCCCACGTTGCCAGTACCCGGTCAAGCAGCGCTTTGCCTCTCATTGGTTCATGGATTTCTTGAGTCAGATAGAGCTCATCCACACACATGAGGAAGCTTTGCGACCATTCCGATTTGGCCAAGTGCTCTTCCCATGAGATGTCTGGGTAGCTGAAGTCTCCCATGACAACCATGTACTGGAGCAGAGGCCTCTCACTGGTGTCCTATATTTGCATGCAGCCATTTTTCCTGCCATCCAGTGCCTGGTGGAACAGCAACATAAAGGTTTTAAAGGATCAGTGTCAGCTGGCAGGCTTACACTCAAAAAGCTAGCATTGCGTTGAGCAGGAACATGCCCAGATTTCTTCAGGAGGTTCCTTGGTAGCGGGGACATGTTTTGGGATGCTTCCATGAGGGTTTTGCCCCATGAACCCAGCAGAAGGGCAGCTCCTTATTGGTGGCAAGGTAAATAGCACATGCAGATGGTGAGTAAATTGGTGCCTGGCATGGCCAAAGCATTCTTTGGACCAGACAAAAACATGGTCAAGGGTGTCCAGAAGAGTCCCCCAGTGCCACAGAAGCATGGCATGGGGTGGCCCAAGAAGAATTTCTTTTGCTAATCCCAGCCCAAAAGAAATTCCTTATTCAAGCCATTATACTTAGTGCAGTGGGCATAGGGGCCTACAGCTAGCAGCATGGCATGAAGAAACTGTGCTCTGGGCCGGGCAAGACTCTGGTCAGGGATGTCTGGGCGAGTCCACTGGTGCCCCAGAGTCATAGAGTGGGGTGGCCCAACAAGGACTTCCATCTCTAATCCCAACCCAAAAAACAGTTCCTTATTCGAGGCATTATACTTACCACAGTGGCTGGGGTACAGTCTGTTGTCATCCTGGCATGACCAAACCGCACTTTGGGCCGGGCGAATCTCTGGTCAGAGATATCCAGGAGAGTTGCCTGGTGACACAGAGATGTTGTCTGGGTTGGCTCAAGAAGGATTTCTAGCTATAATCCTAGACCCAAACTCAATTCCTTATTCAGGTCTATATACGTAGCACAGTGGCTGGGGTGCTATTAGTTGGCAACCTGACATGGCCAATCCGCATTTTGGACTGGGTAAATCTGTGGCTAAAGATGTCCAGGAGAGTCCCCCGGTGGCACAGAGGTGTCACGTGGTGGCCCAAAAAGGGTTTCTCGCTATAATCCCAGCTCAAAAGCCAATTCCTTATTCAAACCTATGCACTTAGTACAGTCAGAATGAGGGGCTGTCAGTTGGCACCCTGGCATGGACAAACTGCACTTTGGGCCAGGTCTCTGCTCAGAGATGTCCAGGAGAGTCCCCCAGTGGCACAGAGGTATGGTCTGGGGTGGCCCAGGAAGGATTTCTGGGTATAATCCCAGCCCAAAATCCAGTTCCTTATTTGGGTCCATGCACTTAGCGCAGTGGCTGGGGTGCTGTCTGTTGGCAGCCTGGCACAGCCAAATCGCACTTTAGGCCAGGCAAATGTCTGGTCACAGATGTCCAGGACAGTCCCCCGGTGGCACAGGGTATTATGATGGGTGGGCCAAGCAGAATTTCTAGCCATGATCCCAGCCTGAAAGATAGTTCCTTATTCAAGCCATTATACTTAGTACAGTGGGCATGGGAGCTGTTAGTTGGCAGCCTGGCACGGCCAAACCGTGCTTTGGGCCAAGCAGGACTGTGGTCAGGGCTCTTTGTGCCAGTCCCCCAGTGGCATCACCACAAAATTTGGGGTGGCCCAAGAAGTATTTTGCCTCATAATCCCATCCTAATCTGACCTTAGTTTAGGGTTCTGTACTTGATGCGGGATATTATTTTACATATGAATTAGTACATATGCATAGCTAATGAAATTCTCTCTCTTTAGGATCTGGAATTCATTAATAAATTTTTATTGGATCTAGATTAGCTTTGAAAAAGGAACTGGGAACTGGGAATAAGGAACCGGGAATAAGGAACCAACTTCAGCCTCATGCAGCAGGGGGGAATCTAAAACAGCCATCTTTGTTATGTATTTTGCAGGACAGCTGCTGCGACAGTGGCAAGTGCACACAACTAATGGGAGCCCATGGTTTTATGAGATCCTGAAGAGCTTTTGAGAGAAATACAAGCTGCATGATGCTACCCTAGTGACCCTGGTAAACCACCACAAGATACAGGAGGTGGTAAGGGCAAGAGACACCATATCACCAGTAGATTTACTACCTGGTGATAGCTGCCAGGCCATGTGGGAGTGAATCTTCTGCAGGGACCTACAGAAGAAGCACAGAGACCTAAACAGGCAGGCAGCCCACCGGGCACTTCCTGTGTGGGCATGGAAAAACAGCGCGAGGCAGAGAGGTCCACTGAAATGCCCGAGGCTGACTTGCCGCTGGCAGGCAGAAATGATCGACCACCTCTTCTGGGACTGTCTGTACACCAGGGAGGTGTGGAAGAAAGTCCGTGTGCTCCTCCTGGTGGTGACAGGTGTCAGAAACCTGACTAGGGAAGAAGTATTTACTTGGCAGGGGAAACACCATGTATCTGGGTTCATGAAGGCAGTTTTTCTTAAGTGTTCCCGGGGTTAACTTTTTCTGGCATGGTTTAGTAGCTGCCAAGGTATTGGGCTTAAAGCCCACATTATGGAAATGTAAGGCTCCTCCCTAGCTGAAGGCCCATATGGCTGAAAGCAGGTGAAACTTGGCGGCATCTGAACCCCAAGCCTCCGGGCTTGGGCCTGCACGTAGGATGCCTGGCAAAAGATGTTGGAAATATCTGAAGCCCCTGGTGGGGGTGGAGGATGTTTGCTAGTTGTAGGGCCACTTATCATTCTGGACTGCTTCAGGTCTGCAGTATGGAAAACCAGGAACCTGCTCACAAATAGACCCCAAAGTCAAGGATTGTATTTAAATGGGACTAAGTGAAATGTACTGGTACTACAGAAAGGCAGAAGAGGATGACAGGAAAAAAATAGCAGACCTCATCTGGTGGAACCTCAAGGGGACTGGCATAGACTTTTTTAGGATTAGCCCCTCTGAGAAGGGCAGTGGGTGGGGGTATGGGTATGGGGATAGGTGCGTGGTAGCGTGGTGTGTACTGTATAACAGGTTTTTAGTGTGCTTTGAGCTGCCAAGTGAACCACAAGGGCCACTGTGTCATGGGACCCAGGCTAGGAAAGAAGGATCTCCCAGTGCTGACTACATGATCGTGGAGCTCACTCTGGAAGATAAGGATCTTCCAACCCAGGTCCTACCACCATGGGGTGCAGGCTGGGTGATAAGGATCTCCCAGCATTGGCCCCATGACCCCAGAACTGGGGCTGGGAGATCTTTATCTCCCACCCCTGGGGCCACCCAGCCCCTACTCTCTCCATTCCCCAGTTGTGGAGTGGGGGCTGGGAGGTCCCTGCTGGATGGGGCTGGGGAGCCTATTCCCTAACCAGCTCCATGACTGCAGATCTGGGCAGGGAACAAACTCTCCAGCCCCAACCCTGTGATCCTGGAGCAGAGACTGGAAACTGTCCCAGTCAGGGGCAGGTCCTAGCCCTATGACCAAAATGGGTGATTGAGCCACAGGGCTTGGAAAGAACTGCAGGGCTGGGGCAGGTTCCAGCCCCCTGTCCACCAGTGGGGCTCACTGCTAGCTGCCCCACTGAAAGGTCAGGGCAGGGGGCTGGGACCTGCCCTTCCCCTACAGCTCTTTCCAAGTCCTCTGCCCCTGATTGAGAAGCCAGGGCCAGGAGCTCCCTGCTGCTGGGACATCCAGGAAACAGCTTTCTCCTGGCCTGCTGCTCCCTGCCAGCTAGCACCCAGGGAGACCATAGAGCCAGGGGCACGCTGCACATGTAGACACCTGTCCACGAGCATTTACTTCAAGTAGTTTACTCATGAGTAAACTACTCCCGTAGCAAATGCATGTGTAGACACACCCACTGAGAATCAGGTTCAAGGCACCCAAGGGCAGGTGGGGCTACAGCTCAAGTCCTCTAGTTTCCCAAGTGAGTAGCCTATGTTGCTGCTGGTGCATATGCCCATTCTGCAGGCATACACAGCAGTGTATGTACTGGGTATGCAGCCAGGAATAGAAGTCCTCCCTTTGGGTAAGTGGCAGTTTTGGCACTTAGATGGCCAAAAATGCCATCAAAATTGGACACTTAGACGAATGGGAAGGGAATAGAGTGTTACCCTATGCCTCCAGGATGTGGAAGGCTGATCCGGTGGTTGAGATTTCACCAGTATTAGCTTCAGACAGCTGTTAGTTGTAGTGACTGTGTCTTTCCAGAGAGCAGCCTCATTCTTGGAGGAGTCCTGTCAGTGCTGCTGGTGGCCTCTTGGTGGAGCTAATGATACTGTTAAGCAAAAATCATGAGTTAGATCCAGAAATCACAAAATTGGCTAAAAACAAAATCACCAGTTTTTTTCACTGCCTGAATTGTAGTTTTGTTCTGTTTCTGGTGTTTTGAACACTTTCTACTTCTCCATGTGTGAGGCATGTCCTTTTGCCAGGTCTCCCACACCTATTGAGGTGGTTTTGGAACTCCCCCCCATATTAACTCCCCTTCCATGAACCAAATCAGTCCCATCTGGTAGGGAGCTGCAGCAGAGTTCCCTCTCCCCAGTATAGGCAGGAGGCAGCTCCAGGGGCTCTCAGCTCCCACACCTCTGTCCCTATGCCAGCTGTTGCAGGGGCAGAAGAAAAAGAGCTGAGCTGTTGTTTCCAGGAGGGATAGAAGAAGGAGGGAACGGAGATGTTATGAGCTGCTGCTCTTTGCACTTTCAGGGCTGGAGACCATCTTACCTGAAACAGCACCTGAGTCTGGGTTCCTGCCCTGGAAGCTTGATTTGTGAGAACTGTGAATGGATTGAATCTGCATGTGTGAATCCTAAGGTACTTTCTGTTGAATGTGCTAATGCCAATGCATGTAAAGTTTTACTTTTTGTTTCTGATATAATCAAAGCTGTTTGCTGGAGGCTGTACTGCTTTGGGCATTTTCACTGGTAACTTTGGATTCAGGGTGTCAGCTTCAGTCTCTAGCTCTGCCCCAGACTCCCTACATAACTCTGGGCAAGATGTTTAGCCTCTCTGTTTCCATTTCTCCGCTGTGAAATGGAGATAACAATCCTGCCCTGTCACGGGCTTGTGAACATAAGCAAGCTCAGGTGCTCAGAAGCTGTGGTAGTGAGGAGGGTCCTATGAGTAGATAGGGGGTGGTAGGCTGGTAGCATGCAGAGACAGTTGAAAGGACAGTGCCAAGTGTCTGAGTGCTGGACAAGGGGTTCCTAGCCTGCATCTGGTTTGTCTGTGCATAGTCCCTTGGTACATATGGCTGTGCCTGATGCAGAGCTGTGCATATGAACTGGAGTATGGAAAGTTTCCCTGCACTTGGGCAATATTAATTCCATATTCATGGACATGGAGAGATCCCTTAGTGGCCTTTCCGCTCAGACGCTGCTGGTCTGCTGGATAGAAGAATGCCAGAGCCAGGAGGTCCTGCTGAGATGGTTGTCCTGCTAAATGTTATCTGCTTCTCTTCAAAAAGGTCTTGGGGGGTTGTGGTGATCCCAAGAACTGTGGAGAACTGGATACCAGGTTAATTCTGCAGGCCAGGGAATGGAGCAAAGGCCTGTCTCTTCCTAGACTGGGGTAGGTTAGGGTGCCTAGGCTGAAGGGGTATCAAAGGCCAAATCCAAGGCATTTAATCAGCCACGTTGTGCTCTGCAGCACCCTGCCTGAGACGAACAGAAACAGATCAGGTTGTTCTCCTGCAAATGGCTGGCAAGTGAAAGAGCCCCAGCCAGTGATAATAATGAAGCTGCTGTGTGCTCCAGCCAACAGTTTTCTCAACAAAAATATTATGCTGTTATCTGTGATTTACAATAGTAGCCAGCACCAATAAATCAATTACCCCAGGATCCCAGATTTACCAATAAATCACTCACCAGCACATTGGCCTGGTGCTCATGACCATGCCATCCGGATGCCCTGGTACAGTGCTGGGGAGGCCAGCAAAATTCTTCAGCTACTAATTAGCGAGTGGGCATATGGGGTGAAATATTTCTTTAGCAGGGAACTGATAAGTTAATGGCTCTAAATGTGCTCTTGGTTTTAGCTGGACAGTTTAAAAGCCAGAGACTAGGCCGTGTGGGTAAAAGAATAAGAGTGGCTTATGGTGACAAAGCAAAGCTCAGAGTGCACTTTTCCAGGAGCCCTAGTGCTCTGCACTTACACTATGGCCCTTGTGCCCAGGAAGGCAGCTAGTTGAAATGGGATGATTTGGAGGATTGAAGAGATGGCAGGGGCTCCATGGAAATCCACAGTGACTGTGAGATCCAGCAGAGCTGTACCGATGGAAATGGAAGTCTGTAGACAGTCTCAGGAGGCCATAGTGTCCAGTCCCGCAGCTGAATCAGGAGGCTGTTTTCAATGGGGAGGCTTGTGTCTATAGCAAGCTCCCACCATGGCCAGGCATCTATTGTTTGCACAGGGGTTGTTTGATAAGCATTATGTTCTTCAGAAGATGCCTACTCCAGGAGTCAAAATAGCATGAAATTTAATTTTATGCCTATTTGACAAAGCTTGATTTCACCTCCAATCAGCAGTGGCGATAAGAGCCCTCGGCACAAGTGTGCGGGGTAGTTTGGCAGCTGTGACTGTGGATTTAATAGGTGAATCGACAGGAACAGCACTTGAAAATCCCCAGGGTAGTCAACCATTAAGGTGAGCCCTATCTTCCGTCCCCCAGCTCCCTTTCTGCAGTGTTCTCTGGTTGCTGGGCACTAAAGCAAACCAAAGCTCTGTTTACCAAGTCTACTATTACAATACAGCTACCAAATATTTGCCAGCCGTCAGCACTGCTCCACCACTATAAATACTTCGGCCCCAGATGGAAAGACTGCCGGGGGCAGGAGCTGGGAGCCCATGCATGGCGGGACTGTGGCGGCTCGGTGAGTGCAGAGCTGACAAAAAGGGGGATGATTTTGTTGCAGCTAAAGAATGAGGTTGCTACCAATGACACCTAACGGGTGGGGACTGGGTTTGAGGGCTGGGCAGGGCCTTTAATCTAGGTCATTAAGTAATTGGGATGTTATGACTTTGGGGCTTTTACCCAAAGCTTCTCTTGTTCCCTGTTCCAGTCTGACTGCCCGGAGGGGAGAGAAATCCTCCCCAGCTTGGCTCCAAGCCATCCTTCCAGGGAGGCTCTGGAGCAGCATTGTCCCCTTTACCTTCTTTGCAGCACCACTACTATCAGGGCATCTCTCCAGCTCCCTGCCCAGGATGAGCAACCAGGGGCTCATTTCTGAGCCTTTTTCCAGAAGCCCTAACACTGGTGCATGGTATTCAGTGCACAGCCGGGGTCAAGGAGCTCTTGTGCTGCATCAGTGCACTGCCACAGGCAGCCTCTTTCCAAATTTTGCCTCCAGCCTAGATGCTCTGTAGCCATCCCACAGTAGCACCTGGCCCTAGGAGTTCCTGAATGGATGTGAACATTACTGGAAGGCCCAGCTGGATGGGACAGTGGCTCAGGCAGGGCACTTCAGGCTCCTGGAGTTCAATTCAAGAAAGGCAGGGAGTAAAGACAACCAGCCCTTTTGGATTTCCTAGGACAGCTCTGAATTTGGGATGGTGCCCTGCGATTTTTGAGGGTTCATTGAAATGGGACTTTCATCCTGAATTCAGAAAGCTGGTTCCAGATTGATGCCAGAATGTGCCTGCATCAGGGCCAGCATCAGCAAACTAGGCCATTTCATGGGCCCCAGAAATTGACTTGCTGCCATCATAGAATCATAAAGGAAAATCATAGAATCACAGAGAAATAGGGCTGGAAGGGACCTTCAGAGGTCACCTAGTCCAACCCTCTGCCTGAGGCAGGATTATCCCTATCCAAACCATCCCATACAAACCATAATCCAAACTCTACACAAGACCATTGTCAAACCTGCCACAGGCAAAGCAGGGACCAAAGCAGCCAGTGTCCCACTTCTATGAAATGCTGTCAATACATGTTCAAGAGATCCCAGACAAAGGGCCACATCCCCTGCCAGAGAGGAAGGCAAAACCCCACACATTCTGCACCAATCTGACCATGGGCACTTCCTCCTGACCTCAAACACAATGAATGGTCCATAAAACCAATGCCTGACAGTTTCAGGGCTGCTAACAGCCATCTGTGGAGTGGCTTTGCCTGTGTGCCAGATTTTGGTCCCTAAAAACTGGTCCCTGTAGTGGGAAGGAGCTGGCTACCCAGTCCTGGGGTTTGCAGAAGTCCTGGCTGGAGTGAGCCCTGCCTCCCTATTGCTGGATCACAGAGGTCACAGATGAAAGTTTTCTGGATGCTGAAATCCACACAAAAGTACTACAGCAAAAGCCATGTTATCTGGCACTTTACCATCCGGGATGTTCCACTAACTGGCATCTGTCAATACAAATCTTCCTTCCAAGGGATGTGGCAAAAGTGAAACGGGAAGTCCGACTTCCAGTTTTGCTGCCACAAGCTGAGTCCCACTTCTTCCTTGTGGACCATGGCCTGGAGCAAAGCAGCCTGCACAGGGCCCCCCTCTCTGTCCCCAGCATGCTGATGCCAGAGAGTGAAAGCCCTGGTGCACCAGACATGGCATATTTGATTAACCAGCATCCCCCTTTCCCCATGGATCCTGGATAACAGAGCGTTTACTGTACTTCAGATGGACACACACTGAGAAACAGTAAGTCATGAGGGGAATCACATTTGGGTGATGCGAGATATCCCAAATTCATCTGCACCAGTAGAAATGCCAAATGACCCCAGTGGCGTCAGGGGAGCTTATAGGGCCAGTAAGACTGGGACCATGATTAGGCCCATTCCATAATACTCCCAGTAGAGAAGTGAGGGTTCACAGGTCCCTGTGAGGGTCTATTACCCCTGGAAGGCCACTGACCATGTGGGTGTATAAGGGTGAGAGGCTGGCCAGGCTCCCAGCCAAACCCATCTACCTGCTCTAGGCAGGTCACTAGAGTTTCAGCCCCCCAGATCCTCCCACCACAGGTCCTTGCCCTCCCTTCCACACATAGCACGTGCTGACTGCTTACTAGGGATCTGGGCTCTCAGAGCTAGGAGCGGGACAGTCTGTGTGAGGTCAGGGGGTAATCTCATAGCCCAGTATCTTTTTATACTGCTCTCTTCTACAGAGCACAGTGACATTTATATCCTTCTCAACTAGGGGAGTTTAATACAGGGGAAACTGAGGCACAGAGAGGAGAAATGTTCTGCCCAAAACCACACAGCAAGGTAGTAGCAAAACAAGGACTAATACCTGGAGTCCTGATTCCATATTATAGCCATCCAACTCCCCCTCCTGGCCACTGGTTTCTCTCTTGGGGCATAACTGCTCATTTTGTTTCTCTTAGTTTTCTTTGTCTCAGGAGTGCTGGGCTGGCTGCTGGTCAGATGAGGAGGCTGGGGCTAGGGCTTCTGGGCTGTTTCTGGCTTCTCAGGGATGTCACTTGTGGCCTTGTACCTCAGCTTCTCCTCAGCAATGTCATTTGCCTCCAGAGCACCACTGAGGCTGAGCACCGGCTGGCAGGGAACTTTGGGATCCTCCCAGGGAAGGTGAAGGGTAACTACTGGGAATGGATCACACTGTGTTTGCTCCTGTAGGACCAATCCTGAGTCCCCTGCACATGGACATGGAAGGTAGTACAAGCAGGAGCTGATGGCTCTGCTTTGCAAGGTACAGGAAGCTTGAGCTGACTTCAGAAAACATGGGTCTGTACAAAGGCAGATCACGGGGAAGTGCAGTTGCACCTCCCCCACCCCCTTTTGATCTCTCCTCCACCCACATTTTAAAACCAGTTGCTTAGGAGAAGCAGTACATTTCTATTTCGGTAGTGCTGAGAGAGTCCACTGACTTCTGTCATCTCCCTTCCTGTTGATCTCCACAGGTGTTAACAACCCTCTCTCCCTTCTAATGGTCTTAATGTTTCACTATTCAAACTATCCTTTCTTCTGCAGTTTTTCTGTCTGTTAGCCCTTCCTGGTAATGTCTCTCTTCTATTTTACAGCCCTGCAGACTATTTTTAGCTCTAGCTAAAACCTTAACTCAGCTGTAGAAATGAATGACTGAAGTATTGGAGGCACTGTCAAGATGCTCAAGGCTAGATTTTGTTTTATGACGCTGAATAAGAGATGCACATTTAACTAGAATAACTACAAAATTGATGATACAATATCCTGTGCTGATTGTTTGCCTAGATGGTTGTGTTGTTTTAAACTTTATATATACTCTAGCAAGTTAGCATACATTCCAATAGTTATGTTTATTTTTTGCTTTGATTTTAAGTAAATAATACAGTTTTAGCCCCTTTCAATATAAGGAAACCTTCTAGGGCCCAGGTGCAGACAGAAGTGACAATTTTCACCCAATCTGGCCACAGAAAGCAGTCTACAGCCATGACCAAACACAAATGCATGGCTGCAGACAGCTTCAAAGATGGCCAGTCAGGTGAAAATCTGACCCCTCCTTGCATGAAGTAACAGATAAAGACATTTCAAAGTGTAGTGTCTTTTGTAACTTGTGTCTGCAGAGCTCCCAGCCTGTGGCAGTTTTCAGAATAGCAGAGGGAAAGGGAGTGGTGGCAGTTCAGTCTTGACTTTTTCAGCCCTCCCAGGATGATGGAGTAGGTGTATTGGAGGGGGGAGGGCTTAAAAACATCCAATTCACCCACCCCACCCTTCAGCACCAGCTGGGGAGCCCCAAGAAGGAGCTTCCTCTGCTGCCTTCCCCACCTCTCATTCTGAAGTACTGGCACAGAGTCATGGTCATTGCAATGGGAACCTGGCTGCAGGTTCCTAGTGGGCAGCTAGATTCCCTTCCCCCTGGAACCAGTAGTGAACTTCTGTTTGGTCTGGGGTAACGCTGTAACTCAGAACAGTTTGCAAAAATCCTTCTGAGTTACAGGTGAGAGCTGCCCTTCTATCTGCACCCATGTGTTGCTTTATATGTGATGATGTGCCACACCTTCTGCACCTGGCCTTTCAAAATCCTAGATCCACCTATGGGTCTGCAGCCTTCCCTGCCCTCCAGCTCACTGGGGGCTGGCACTCCTGGCTACTCCACTCAGCCAAACCAGGTATCCAGGAGCTGGCAGCCACCGCAACAGGGCAGCTGCAGCAAGGGTCTGTGTCTGAGCCTTCCTAGCCTGTCATCTGTGCCTAGAGATGGGGAAGTGGGGTCTAGAGCTTGCTCTGGGGCTTAGTGGGGTGCAGAGTCCAACAGCCAGGAGCTGTGGCCTGCATGGCAGCAGTAGTAAAAGCACATGCAGGGGTGGGGCCAGCTGCAGCATCAGGGCTGGCAGTAGTAACAGCTGTTGCTCTTGTGCTGCAGGACAACTGTGTCCCCCATCAGCCCTCCCAGCCTGCCCCAGGGTTGTCTTCTAGCTTTAACACTGCTGTGTATGCTCGAATGAACAGTGAGTAAGAGAGGGCCAGCCCCAGCCCCTTTGGGCAGGGCCAGTAGGCACAAGTAGGTCTGCTGGGAACTTGGCCTGCTATGAAGTGTTCTGGGGAGCGAAGAAGCCCAGTCAGACACCCTTGGGGGCATAACACAGGGGTGCCGTGCCAGCTGGGTTGCTGCTAGCAGATGTGGTGACGGCTCTGATGTAGAGGTGGGCGGCTCTGCCCATGGCAGCTGCAGTGGGTACAGGCGAGACTCAAGTGTTTTAACCCTCAGTCACAGAGTGCTACAAATGCCAGGGCCCTGCCCATCATTCCAGCCCCATGGAGCTGCACGGGGTGAGTTTTGCCAGCACACAGACTGTCAGGGCCTGCAGCAAGAGGCATGGCCAGGTTGTACAACAGCAGTGCAGCCAGGCAACTGCAGCACAGGGGCATCTGCCCTGGGGAGAGGGACTGAGGTAAGGGAGAGAGAATCTGGCAGGCTACAGGGCACTCTGGCTGCCCAGAACCAGCTGCTCCCAAGGCAAATGTCAGGCTGAAGCATTATGTGCTTTTGGAAACTCAGAGCACTGCATGTGGGAGTGTGGGGGAAGACAGAGTAATGACCCTTGGCCAGGATCACACTTTCACAGTACACTTGGGTTGCAGAGTGGGCAGGGGCCTGGGGACCACTGGGGTCAGGGAACAGGCCATCAGCTCCCATGCACACCGACCTTCACTGAAGATGGCAGCTGCTCTGGGAACACTGCAGGGTCCTTGGCCCTACAGCTCAGGCACCCTGCAAGCAGCCTGGAGTTGATTCTTTAACAGTCAGCTGTGGGTTTTCTCAGTCCCATTACATTTTGACCTGTTGCAGCACAGGGAGTACCGCCTTAGGCTTGAAATCCCTGAGTTGCATTGGAGAGCATCCAGGATATGAAAACTAGCTCCCTGAGACACTGACCCTTTTCAGGAGAGCCTGCAGCAGATGGAAAGGCCTCTGGAGCAGCTGTGGAAGCCAACAAGTGGCAGGAGTCTGAGGTGGGCAGAGCAAACTGAGGGCAGGGGTAGGGCTGCTCTGTTTCATGCCATGGGAGGAAGGGGCTGTGGGGTCAGAGTCCTGATCACTTGTACCCATTTAGCTCAGCTGCCCCTCCATCCTAGCACTCCTGTGACATGCTGGGAACATGAGGAATCAGTGGCTGCCCTCCTTCCAGTGCTACCCAGGGCTAGCAGCCCTGCCAGAGGCTTGTGCCTTAATGGCATAGGAGTGCCCCCTGCCCCAAAGTATATGAATGGGCACTGGGCAATGGAAAGGCTTTGTGGCATGAGTGAGTCAAGAGAAGGGGCATCTCTGTGGCACTGAACCAAGCCAGGGGCTGCCTCTGAAATCAAGGATGCTGTTTGCCTCATAGACTGAGGAAGGTCAGGGCTCAGTCTTGCCTTTAGCCTGGGTCCTGAGAAGAACTCCAGAGTTGGTCCTTCTGCTCCCAAAAGGCCCTTCTCCCCAGGCACATACCAGTCTGGTGGTTGGAAGTCATGCCCAGCTGCATGGCAATCCCCCCTCCCCCTCACCCCACCTGTGTGGCCTTGTGCTGCTCCCAGGGCCGGCAGATGCTGGGGGGTTATTTGTTTGTTTAAGCAGGTTAAGCATAAGCTACAACCGCTGAGGCACTGAACATCTGGACTCAGTCTGGCCTTTGGATTCTGTCTCAATGGTCTAAAGGGGGGATGGTAGATATTGGGCAGCCTCCACTTCTCCATACTCTTGCCTAGGCATATGTATCAAAGGTCTTGGTGTGTTGGTCTCAGGGCTCCATTCAAGTGGATTAATCAGGTGCCTGACTAGACTTATGCATACACCATGATCCAGGGGATCAATGGCTGCCTCCAGCTCCAACTCCAGTTGTGCAATAAAGCTCTTATCCTGTGCATAACTCATTTGCTGCACACCAACTGCCTATGGGCTCTGTCACCCATGATGCAGCCCTGCTCCAAAACCCAGGTCACTGCTGAGCTGCCTCCTCTCAGCATTAGGGTCCCAGCCCCACAGTACACTGGGCAAGAACAGAGCAAGACCCAGCAAGGGTGATCCATTCACTGCCCTAGAGTCATGCTGTGAGGTTGTGATCAGGAGTGGGCCCAGCTCTTCTCTCACTCACGCAGATCCACCCTGCCTGGGCTAAGCACACTGAGCACCATGGCTCCCTGCCACTGTCAGGGAAATCAGCATGCATAGGCAATGCGTGCCTCCTGAGGCTGGGGGGGCATGGCGACCCCCCACAGGTGGCAGCAGCGGTGTTGATGGCGGGGCATGGCAGCAGCGAGTGAGGACCTCCTGCAGGCAGCTGTGCTGATGTTAGCAGCGACGGTGGGCCAAGCGGGCATTATCCACAGGCTGCTGCGGCATTGTCGGTGGTCAGGGGGAGGTCCCACTGCAGCCAGCTGCCGAGCCTGGAATTGCCGGTGGTAATTCTTGGGTGTGGGGCACCAGCGCTCTGCCTGCACCCTCTGCCCATCACCTAAGCTGAGTGCGCTCGCTCTTAAGGAGTGCACGTGCATCACCATGCACCTTCTACACATCACCTATGCCAGCATGTGATAACGGGAAGGTAGCAGATCTCATACACAAGTATACGCCTAATTGTTTAAACCATTCACACCATGCACAATGCCAATGCAGTCTGGAGTGTGGCTGGACTTGCAGCACCACAGTCCTCCCTGCATGTTCCATCAGCATGGCCTAACAGTGTTTCCCTTGCAGAGTGAGTCCAAAGGCCGGTGGTGCCCATCTCTAAGTGAGCTGAGATGGCTGCAGGAGTAATCAGGAACCCAGCAGAGTTCAGACTGCCCACTTCCTTTCAGCACTCATTTCTCCACCCTGCTGTCCATCAGGATAGGGATTTTCAAGAATTGTCTGAGGAGGAGGAAGATGAGGAGGAGGAGGAGGAGATGGAGGAGGTGGAATTACAGGGCAATCCCACTGCTCCTATTCCTGGTGGAGAGAGACAAGAAGTCACAGCCACTGCCAGCCTACATGATGCAGAAATGACCCTACAGCTCCTCAGGTTCTCAGAGCTGATCAGCAGTGACATCCAGAGGTACTTTGGGAGAAAGGCCAAGGAGGAGGACCCTGACTCCTGCAACATCTATGAGGACTGCTTCTCCCCACAAAGATCAGGGCGGGAGCTGTACTATGCAGACCTGATGCACCTTGCCCAGAGTGGGGAACTGGATGCTGAGGACTCCCACAGTGCTCAGGTGCCCTTGGGGCAGCTAGACCAGCAGCTTTGGAGGTCCATTTGTAACAAAGACGGAGGGCAGAAGCTGGGACCACTGGCTGAGCTCTTCGAATATGGCTTGAGGCAGTACATCAAGCAGACAGTCTCTGACAGCAGAAGGCTGCGGCTGGAGAAGAAGTATGCCCACATCACCCCCATGCACAGGAGGAAGCTGCCACCATCCTTTTGGAAAGAGCCCTCTCCTGGCCCTGCAGGCATCCTCAACACAAACACGCCTGACTTCAGTGACCTCCTTGCCAACTGGACTGTTGAGCCTGGGCAGGAGCTGCCCAATGCCAGCAGGGAGCTGGCCAGTGAACTGGGCCGGCAAGCCATGGAAGCTGATCAGTTCAATGTGCTGTGAGGCAAAGGTGCCAGGGCTCCAGTCAGCTTCACTGAGTCCCATGGGCTGGGACCAAGCTAGGGGCTGCTGGAAAGAAGCTACCTGCTCCTAAGGTACCGAGGGCTTTGTCCAAATGGGAATTCACACACCCTGCCACCTGCCCTGTCCCAAGTGACTGTGGGTGAGAGTGCCATATTTCTTCTTGTGCCCACTTTCAGCCCCATTCTAGTTTGTAGGCAGCACGCAGGAACCAGGCTGATGCCTGGCACATTAACCTTGGGCCTTATCTTGCCCCTGCTTTTTAAGTATGATGGGCTTTGGACTTCTGCCAGTTGCAGCATCAGCCTTTGTGCCAGTCCCATCAAACTACCCATGTCTATGTGTTCTGCAGGGATGGCAGGGATACTGGGCAGTGCCAAGGTGCAGCTGCCGCCATATGATAGCCACATCCTTGCCATGTGCCACCTTGGTTAATGATAAAACTGGCTTTGCTTTTACAAGAGAAGGTTCTAATGGTGTCAGTGGGGCTTTGGAAATGGACTTTCTCAGCTGGAATGTGCCAAGGCCTGAGAGCTGCTGTAGCAAGGAGCATGTTTAATTTTATTTTCCTCTGATTGTAACAGGAATGACTAGGGTGAATAAACCCTTCATTGCAGTGGCTGAGTGTGTCAGTGGTGCCTCTGCAAGTCACCCAAGCCAGGGGGACCCAGGCTGCAACTGATGGCAAGGCCGTGGCACAGAGGGGGTCATGTCCTGCCCTGGGGAGCCCCTGGTTTTGAGGTTGGTGTGCCCTTTAGGCACACCAGTCTGGACACCTTAAGGAACAGCCAGGCCTCAGATGTCTCTGCTGGGACATCCGGCCCATGGAAAGTCTGCAGGAGGATGAGAGGGAACCAGAGTGTGGTTGAAGAAATAGCCACCATTTGCCATGACACTCCATGTCTATGGAGCCAGGACATACCACTGCTGCACAGCCTGGGGGACCCCCAAGAGGCACAGCAAGGGGAGACTTGCCTGCAATCGGCTGCTTGACCCATCTGCCTACAGCCAATCGGCCATCTCCCATCCCGAGAGGAAAACAAGAGCCTGCAGTACAGGGCTGCTCTCCTGCCTCTGCCCTGAAACTGACCCCTTGCCCAGAAGTTGGGGGCGGGGGGGAGGTCCCACTACAGGCCCCCCTGCCTGGGTGGGGGTGGAAAGACCTGAGCAGAGGATGGGTGGGCAGGGCTGATGGGATGTCTGGAGGCACAGTTGACTGCTGGGCAGGAAACAGGCAGTTGTGGGCTGGCAATACACTTCCTTCCCCCCCTCCCCTACAGAGTGCTCTCAGGGTGGGGACATGCCCCAGGGGCTTGGAGCCCATAGACAGACTCCTCCTCTATGCACAACCTGAGGGCAAGGATGGGGGATGCAGCTGGAGAAAGTGGGGGTTTCCTCCCCTCTGCCCCCACTGGCTGCAACTGTTGGGGTAGGTCAGCACAGTTCCCAACAGGCCCTAAGCCAGGCAGAGCACGGAAGGCAGTAGGTTGCATTCAGCTGCCTTGACCACCGCTCTCTGTGGTGTGTTGGTGGCTCCTGACTATGCCATCAACCCTTCAGTGACGCCCAGGGAGGAGAGGCAAATCCTTTATCTAAAAAGCAGGAAGGGATGGATAATGAGCTGATTAAATGAGCCAATAACACATGTTTGCTCTCTAGGCCAAAGTCAGTGAATCTGATCAGCTTATCGCAGCAGTATAAGGGCAAAGGGTAACCTAGGCGCCTCATCAACTTGCACAGCTGCAGTGTCTTGGGATGGGCAAACATCTGAAGGCTCGCTGCTCAGCTGGGTCCCCAGGACCTTCCTCCCCCACATGCAATCCAAGGAGAGAGCTGCAAATGCTCTGGAGAGGTCTCAGACCATGCAGGCTCTTTTGTCCCCCACACCCTCCTGAAATAACACTGCCCATTGTCAGAGACACCTCCCCATTACACTCAAGCACCCGAGCCCACTCTGGAAGGGAAGGAACCATCCTATACAAGCAGCTACCAATGTGTCAGTGTCCCGATGGGGTGCCATAGTGAGTGTTGACCCTGAGTTTGCCACAAAGCTAATGGATCTGTGTCGGTACCAACTGCCCTGTGTGGAGGATTTGGAGGGGGGAGGGGTGCCAAAAGCAGGATGGAGCTTTATCTCCATAGGTCCCTGATCCCTTGAAGACATGAGGTGTCTTTCCACTACCCAGAAGCTAGCAAGTTTTTCCACTTCACTTGCTTGCCTGCAGCAGAGGGAGCAGTCTATAGCTGGGGCACACATTGGCAAACCCAAGTGTCCTTTGTAGCAGGGAACCATGCCATAAGCTTAGCAATAGTGCATTCCCCCATCAACTGGAGTGGTGCTTCCTGCCACACAGTCCACTGAAATGCTGCACTGCCTCCTGCCTGAACCTGCCTGGTGCAGCTGGTGTGATCCACTCCACAGTGGCACACTTTTCCTGTGCCTCAGGAGAGAACACAGCCTCATGTACCCCTTGCATTAGATACCATGCAGCACTTTTAGTGCATGCTGCTCCCATCTATTACCAGGGGCTGGTACGAGGCATTTATCTCCATCTTTGTGGTGAAAGCTCCTTTTTTTGTTGGATTTGAAAGGAAGCAGCATCAGAAAACATCTACAAACCTCCAGATTCCCAGAGGCAGAGAGAGCACCCGATGTCTGAGCTTGGGCTGTGAGGGGTCAGGAGGCAGGGCTTGTCCTGCCTGGTGGGGAGGGGTGCAGCTCCATGGACTCTATGAGAACAGGGGTAGGAATGGGCTGTTCAACTCAGCTGGAGACCAGGCTGCATTGGGTGGGCTGGCCAAGTGTGGCAGGCAGACTGGCACTGCCCCAGCTCCCCAGAAGGGCTGAGCTTACAGTAGAAATAAAGTAATTTTTTTAAAGAAAATTTTTCATGTTCCAATCTAAATCAGCCAAATTAATTCCAAATCCATAAGTCAGTCAAGAACCCTAAGTGGCCCTACTGTTGGCAAACATCTACCGAAGCTGGGCCTTGAGATGTTTTGAAATCCTTTGGCAGGCATCCTATGTGCAGGCCCAAGCCCAGAGGCTTGGGGTTCGGGTGCCTACAAGTTTGCTTGCCCTTAGCCATAAGGCCGCAGGAGCAAGCTAGGGAGGAGTTTCCCATTTCCATAAAGTGGGCATAAAGCCAAAATCTTCCCACTTGAGCAGCAAGCGGAAGGGTTATTATACATTACCTCCGCAGATACTACCCCATTCCAGAAAAGCAATTATCTCCGGGTATGAAGAGGAAAACCACCCTGGTGGTTATGGTATTTCCCCAGCCAGGTAAGTAATTGTCAGAGCAAAAACACATTTCCCTGGAGCTGCTTGCAGCTGGTGGCTGATGGCTTGAAATGAAGCCCAGCACAGCTGCCTGCCTGTCCAGTGGGGGAGACCCTTTTCTGCTGCCCAGGAGCAAGCTTAGATTGTATTAAGCAATACTGTACATTGAGGTCCTCCCCCACCTTGCAGTTCACCATGATGTAACACAGCAATGGCAGTGTGAGTGCAGCAAAGGTACCTGCTGAAGAGGGCTCTGTTGCACTGAAGATAGCAAAGAGAAGAGGACAGCATAAAAGAAGATGCATGCCTTCCACCGCAGGACTCAGGGTAGAAGGGCCGGGTCCTAAGAACTCTCATTCCCAGAAGCCAGCTCTGTTCATGGGGAGACTCTCAGGGAAGGCAGCAGAGCTTATTGCATAGTAGAGGTATTCCAGAGCTAGCCTAAGGTTACCATATTTCCAGTTTCAAAAAAGAGGGCACCTGTTGGGGAGGGGGACAGTAGTATGATTCTGGGGTGCAGTGATATGCCAGTGCCCTGCCCCTGTCCCTCATGCCCAAGCCACAACCCCAAGTCCATGCTGGTGCCCCTCACTCCTGACATGCCAGACCCCTGACACTGCCAGCCCCTTGCACTTCTGATCCTCAGTCCCCTGACCCCTGCCGCCCTTCACTCCCAACCCACAGCCTCCCCAGCCCTGCCAGTGCTTCTCACTCCCAACCCACAGCTCCCTGCTCCCCAAACCTGCTTGCTGCCCCAAAAAGGACCCCAAAGAGAGGACATGTATGGGAAAAGCCAGACATATAGTAATCCTAGGCTGGCCCCTTAATCTCATCACCTGGATCAGTGGGAGAAATGCAGATGGAGTGGAGCAGGTGCTGGCAAGGAAATTCACTGCTGTGAAGAGCAGGTTGCAGTGGAGGGCCTGGGGCTTCTGGTAAAGCAACAGGCATTGGCTGCAGAGGCAGTCTGGGTGAAGGCATCAAGTGGAGAGCAGAGGAGGAGACGCAGCAAGGGGCTGGGAGGAGCATAAAATATGAGAGCGAGGTGAGGTCCTTTGTGGTGGGAGATTGGCTGTGACCACATGTATGGGTTTGGGGGAGAGTGGGCACTTGCTCACCATGCGGATCCTTGGGTTTCACTTATCGCCGTCCTGCTGTGAGAAGAACAGCCAGGGCACCCATCAGTCTCCCCAGTGACTGGCCTGTTTGCTTGTGTATAGCCCTGACCCCAACCTCCCCTCCCTGCTTCCAACCTGCCTCTGTGATAGAGGCCCTGAGGTTTGTCCCTGACCTCTCCAGGATGGCTCCCTGCCAAGGCTCAGGAGCTGATGTCCTCCAAGCCTGGTTGGGTCAGTGGGGAGGCAGGCAGTTTCTGCTCCCTGTTGGGAGAAAACACTGCAGAGAGACCAGGAGAAAATGCCAGAGCAAAAAGGTGGGAAGGAGAGAGGGAGACGGTGGGTGAATTAGAGGAATTTCTGGGAGCAAACACCAAGTGGCAGTGATTAAGGACAATAAACAGTCATTTGTCTTCTAAGCAAACCTCTCCTCTCCACAGGACTCTTATCTGCAGGAAAATTCCTCCTAGTTCCCCTTTTAGCCAGGGAGTCAGTAGGTTCATGATAGACAAACCATCTCTCCACTGGGGAAGGGCAGCTAGAAAGGGCAGCTGCGACTCTAGCTGCCCTGCTCACCATCCATCATGCAACTACATGCCTTGTTGTGGTCATTACACTGTTTCCACTTAGAGCAGGCAGAAAAGCACTGAGGCCTAATGAGATGGAAGGCAAAGCCAGTGCATCCTAGAATCAGGACAAGACAGTTGGTTGCAGGGTGTATTTCACTGTGGAGCAGAGATGGGTAAAATACAGCATGCAGGCTGGAATTGGCACAGCTTCCCGGTGGCCGCACTGGGAACTGCTCAGCTCCCCACCCCCACCCTCAAGGCAGCAGGTAGCATGGGGAAGCGGCAGTGGTCATGGGGATGCATATCAGACACCACATGCCTAGCCAGGTCAGGGGGTGGGGGAGCTACAGCTGGGCAGGTCCTACTACAGTGTGCAGGGCACCTGCTCCAGTTCCTGGCTACCTTCCATCCACTCGGCCACCTGGCGTGATGAGCAGCTACCTGTGGACAGTCAAGTGGGTGGAAGGCAGTCCCCTGGCTGGGAAGCTGTGCACACTGGCCAGGGCCAGGGCAGTGCTGTCAGCAGGTGCAGGGTGGATATGGGTGGGAGCACAGTGCAGGCTGCATTGGGTAGGAGCCAGCAGGGTTTGGCCCAATGTGGAGCACTGTCGAGACAGATGTAGGCCAGATGGGGGCGGGGGCATGCATCAAACACGCTGGCATGCATCAACCAATGCATCTTGTTTAAAACTAAGGAAGTGATACTCCCTCTGTACTCAGCACTAGTGAGACCACACTTGGAGTACTGCGTCCAGTTCTGGGCGCCGCACTTCAATAAGGACGTGAAAAAACTTGAGAGGGTCCAGAAAAGAGCCACCCATATGATTACAGACTTGCAAGGCAAGCCATACGAGGAAAGGCTGAGGGACCTGGGCCTCTTTAGCCTAAAGAAGAGAAGGCTGAGAGGGGACTTGGTAGCAGCTTACCGCTATATCAGAGGAGTGCATCAGGAGCTTGGTGAAGAACTGTTCACTAGGGCATCCCGGGGGAAGACCAGCACCAATGGATATAAACTCCTGGAAGGCTGCTTCAGGCTTAATACCAGGAAAAACTCCTTCACAGTCAGGGTGTCCAGACTCTGGAATAAACTCCCTCCAGAGGTGCTGCAGTCACCTACCCTGGAGGTTTTCAAGAGGAGACTAGACAGTCACCTCGCTGGGGTCATTTGACCCCAGTTGTCTTCCTGCCTAGAGCCGGCGGTGGGGCTGGACCCAATGATCTGCAAGGTCCCTTCCAGCCCCTAACAATTTATGAATCTATAAACAGCCCCCCACACACATGCACCCTCCACACCCCTTCACACACCACACATTCACACCTCCACACCCACTCCTCCACACACACAATATACAAGAGTAAGACTTTATTTTGAGATATTATGTAATTGCCTCTATATACACTATTCAAAAAACCATAAATCAGAACTAAAACTATTTTTAAATATTTTAAAATGTTACAGTAGATGTTTGATTTTTAGTCTATTGTTTGTTTTTATTTATAATTAGTTAAAATGATATCTTCTGAAAGATTTTATGTATGTGGCCCTTGACAGCTCCCCAAAACCTGTTAAGTGGCCCTTCAGTCAAAATAATTGTCCACCCCTGCCCTGGAGGGACAGAGGGGCCTCAGCTTAACTAGCTCCTTTCAAACCCTGGAGGAGCCAGAAACATGCAGGCTCACACAGTGAGGATCCATAATGGCACAAATGATTCTGTATTCACTAATGAGGGATCTGATCTGTGCAGCTAGCAGGGCTGCATGCTAACACAGGGTGCCCTGTGGGACAGTGCATGTGGATTAGGTGCAGCCATCATGGACTGCAAACAATAGCCTGCTGGTAGGGAGGGAGAGCCCAGGTTATATGGCTTGATGCATAAGGTTCTCTGGGGTGCACCATGTAGGAGGTCAGGCCACAAGATCACAGTGGGTGACAGGTGGCTGACACAGACCAAAACTTCATCCCATGGCTGATCCTGTGCACACAGCTTGGGCAGTCTGTGGGGCCACAGGAGAACAGGAGAATCACTGGGCAGGTAACTAGAGTGATAAAAACCCAGCAATATCATGAACAAAGCTGTTAGATTTCCTGTCTTATTGGCACTAAAGCAGAATGACATCCCCAAGGCATAAAATCTAGGCAGCCCAGGGCCTGTTCTGTTGGAAGAACTGATTCAAAACACAGGAGGTCACTAATAAGGTTTGGATCGGTGTGAGTGCAATGAAGCTGGAATGCATCCACGCTGAGCTGGCCTTAGGGGTGGGTAGCATGGGCAACTGCCCAGGGCACTGTGGTCAGAGGGGTGCCACACATATGCCCTGCCCTACTTCACTGCTTGTGCCAGGCAGGAGCCATCATGGGATTTGGGATCTTGAAGAGAAAAATGAAGGACATAAAGGCGTCCAGTTTCGTATCAAGAGAGGACAGAGAACAGAGTAGCAGAAAACTGAAATGTCTTCTATGATGGCCACCCTAGATGTACAGCAGGGCCTGCTTCCCCTGGCCACACCCAGAGCTGATTGGAGCTGCTAGCCAGGGCAGTGGGATTAAAACCCCCTGGGTAGTGGCAGTGGTGAGCACTGCCTGGCAGCAAGATGGGCCAGGAGGAGGGTGATGAGAGCTGGGTTAAAGACAGGTGCCCAGCAAAAAGACAGTGTGTCTGTTTGGCCCTGGTATGCATGCCAAAGCCTTCACCATCACTGACCTGCTGGGGCTGGAGGCCAAAGTGCAGCCACCCACAACTACTGAGGGTGTGAGTGTGGGTGGCTGGTGGGCTCAGATCAGGTGTAGTGCCTGTTCTTAACCTGGCAGAGGAAATATGATGTATCTGTGTCCATAAAGGCAGTTTTCCTAAAGCACACCTGGGAAGAACTGCTCTTCTGGCATGGTTCAGTACCCACCGAGGTGTAGCGCCTTTAAGTCCACTTTATGGAAATAGGAGTCTCCTCCCTAGCTTGCTCCAAGGGCTAAGGGCAAACAAAAAAAAAGTAGGATGCCCACCAAAGGATTTGGAAAGATCTGAAGCCCCAGGTGTGGGTGGAGGATGTTTGCCGGTAGCAGGGCCACTTGTGGTTCAGGACTCTTGGATTTGGAATTAGTTTTGGCCAATTTGGCCTGGGAGATATATATATATATATATATATATATATATATATATATATATATGTGGCACTCTGCCACTGGAGCTGGG